CACCCTCCTGGGTGAGAAGCTTTTCCTTACCTCCAACCAGAGTTTCCCACGTCGCTACCCATGGCCTCCTGCCCTTCCCTGTGCCCCTCTGAGACGAGCCTGGCTCCATCTTGATCCCGAAAATCCAGAATGACTTCTCACAAATGTTACTCACCGGCAGAGCCACGAGGACGTCTGCTGCTGTTCGCCCATTGCCTCTAAACACCACGAAGCAAATCCCAAGCAGTGAGCAAAGCTGCGGGGGTGAGCGCAGCACGTACCCCCCAGCCACCACAGCCCTCAGCATCCGAGTCCAGCTTTTTGGTAGAAATTGAGTCCCGTTGATTCGAAAGCAAACATAGCAGCGAAATTTGAAAGGCATTTGCTGGAATTGCCCAGGTGAGTTTCTAAATCTCATCTCTTCTTGATAAATGCCAGAGGACAGGGGATGACTTTCAGACTAAGTTTTGACCTGTGCTGACACCGGGTTCGTGATGATTCACGGCGCTCCTAAAAATCACGTCCCTTTGCAGTGGCTACTCCAAACTGAGAGCCTCAAAGCCACGAGGGAAAACACAGGCTCGCCTTTGAGACCAGCGTGAAAGGCAGGGACGCACTGCTTTTGCTAATGCTCCCCAAATAGTACTTACTCTTTGAGTACAGAGGGGTTTGTTGGGAATTTACAAGTAAAATGCTGTTTAATTCATGAATGTAAATAGATAAGAAAATAAGTTCGTTGAGAAACACGGCCTTAACCTCAAGCTGGTTTTTGGACCAGTGACCACAACTTGCTGGGAATCACGAGTGAGACAGACAGACAAAATTCAAATGTTGCTTCAAGGACTTGCTGGGAATCACGAGCGAGACAGACAAAATTCAAATGTTGCTTCAAGATACCAACCAATGCTGATTTCGGAATTCAGAACCACGAAGTCAGTACGCGTGTCCTGCTACTGCTAAACAGCAGAATTAGTCCCACCACCCCAACCAAGGCTTTTCCAGTTTGGGTGCTTTCCCCAATTAACCTTTTTCTCTGCTTTATTATTTTGCAGTGTTGGGTTTGGGCGATGATTGAATACCAAGCCGCCTCCACAACCAGCACATGGACCCAAATTTCACGTTTCAAGGGGCACTTTCGTATTTGTGGCAGGCTTGCTGGGACTATTAAAGAGAACGGCATATTTTGTTACCCGAGGAATGAATTAAACAGGAATCTCTCAGTCCTGGGTTGACCTTCTAACTTGCCAGCGCTGGTGGCCGATACCTGCCTGCGCGCACCTCCCAGCCCGCCATTTGCATTCCGTGGCTTTGTCCACCAACACCTGGAAAACTGCCAAGGCTGGAGATCCCCCTCTCCGCTGATGGGTCCTGGGCTGCAGCACCCTCTGGGGGAAGGTGTTCCTCATCCCCGACCTGAACCTTCCAGTTTGTGGCCGTATCCACTCCTCGTTTCATCTGCCGCAGCCATCCCCCACCCTCCTCCATTTGAACCACGAACGGACAAAACCAGCCAGGCACGGGGGTCACCCCTCGCCAAGCTGCACTGCTTCGGGTGGGTGATGGACCACTTCGCACCTCCCCTTGGGCCGCCTGGCCCTGGTGGCGCTGGGAAGGGCTGTCACCATGAGACATGCTTGCGGCAGGCGGCCTTGGAGCTGGCCTCCCCGGCTGTGACTCTGCAGGGTGGCTCTCGGGAACTCACGGCTTCGCAGTCCCTGGGGAGCCCTGGCACAAAGCGTGGCATGCCCCAACCCCTTCCCTGCCAGAAGCGCTGCTGAGCGATGCTTATCTGTGATGGCCGAGCAGGAAAGCCTCAGGCAGAGCGCTACAGTTGGGTTTGGACAACTAGCCCCGTTTTCCTGCCCCGTCAGAAGTCCTCCCAGTGCTGGCTGCAGTCCCTGCACCGGAAAATAAAACCACCAAGTGATTCTGTGGTCAAGATGCCAGCTAGCAGCCATCTTGCCCAGGAACTGCATTGACAGATCAGCACAAACCTTGGCCTGCCAATTCTCCTCGGGATTTTCCCTTTCATTGCTGTCTTGCCGAGATCATTTTTCACCGTTCCCCCTTCTGAGCGGTCTCCACTGCTACCCCAGCCTTATCTTAAGCTGCCAAATTCAAGGTGACCCTGAGCAGGGCTCTCTGGCAGTTTGTCGGCGGCTGTCGCGTCCTCGCAAGTTGCTGGGTCTCTGCTCCCAGCCTGCGTGTTGGTATTTGCTGTGCACGCTGCGGCGGTGCTCAGGATCCTCGTGGCGGCTGGTGTTGGACACGGACGGCACCCGGTGGCCTTTGCTGAAGGCCGAGGTGGTGCTCAGGTCTGAGCTGTGCTCGGCGGCCAGGCCCTTCCCCTGTCCCGGGGTAGATTTGCAGCCTCAAGCTGACAGCACCCAATTCGCACCTGTGGGTTTGTGGCATCTGTGGCTTCCTGGGAACATGCTGTCATGGCAAACTACCAGCTCCTCCAATTCCCCTTGCTAGGGCAGCGAAGGAACCCGGTACCTGCCAGACTGAGCCCACCTTGACAGATAAACCCACCACCACCATACAAGCGCAATCAAGCTCTCCATTTGTGGTCAGAGCTGCATGAAAACAGGCATAAAACCAGGACAGGTCTAACACTGGCCCCTGAGCTATTCCTCTCCACATCCTCAAGGTAACCTGGCTGGGGGTATCGTTGCCCAAACTACCCTGAATGCTGCACAGGGACTCCCTTCCCACCTCGAGACATTTGCTACCCTGCCTAGTAGGAGGACGAGCCAGCCCTGCATGGTTGCAGCTGTGCAACCATGGACTTTGCTTTCCCTGAGGCTGCAGCATCCCTGGTCCGCAAGCAGAGTTTCCAGCTTTCCTCAAGTCAGGAGAGTATCTCCATCAGAGGGACTGTCCATGGGGGGAAGCTCCCGGCCACATCCAACATGGCTGTAGGAAAAGGAGCAAGGGGAGGGTTTCACAGCGAAGGCAGGATGACAGAACGGAGGGCTCCAACTCAGAAGTCAGGATTAACCACGTCTGCAACAGCTTCCCGATGGAGAAGCTCCTGCAGCTCTTGCAGTGCCCCCATCAGCACCCCCTGCCCCCAGCGGCACAGGAGCTCTCCCCCGGGGCCGGCCGAAAGCTCCCGCTACCCCTCGGCACCCACCAAACCTTCCCAAGGCAGCAGATCCTGCAGACCGGGCACGCACGATGAGCAGCGCTGAAGAGCGGTCAACTTCAAGGACAGGCAATACCAGCAGCGCAGCTGGGGAGGACGTACAGCCAAAGCTCTCCTCCGAGAGATATGGCGCCACGCAACTGGAAGATAATTTTATACAACTAAAACCTACTAGCCCGCAGTACAGAGAAGGAGCTGATAATTGCCCACTCAGCCATCCCAAACAGCCCCCTCACCGCTGAGGAGCTGTGAGGCACTCGGGGACCCCCCCAGGGCTGAGAGCGGGATCCGGGCAGGCGCCAGCCAGACTCTGCCGTAGCTGCACCGGGCCCGAGAGGCCAGACCTGCACCAGCACGTTCCAGTAAAGCTACGGAGGGGGGCTGGGACAGAGCCACAGTCTGGAGCTTTGCTCAGAGCTGCATTAAAATGCATGAGCTGTGCTAGCCCTAATGATGAGCAGAGCTGTCAAACAAGGAGCTTGTCCCAGCTAATTATCTCTAACGAGGGCAGAGTGTCAGGGTCCCCGAGGAGCTGGGCAGCAGCTTCCCACTCAGCTCAGTTGCAGAAGAGGGAGAAGATAAGCAAATGTCATTGTGCTGGCCTAGCTATGAAATCATTAATTAGGCAAATGTGACCTTCTGTGCCAGTTTGCTCTTGAGAACCTGGACTTGCCGGAGCTGGAAACTTCCCAGCTTTTGCCACCCAACCTGTCCCCTGCAGTACTGAGCCTCCTGCCCCCGTACAGAGACAGCACAGCCCCAGTCTGGCAGCCCCTGACCACCCAGCCCTACCAGCCCTAGGGCTGCCCAGCTGTGCCACACTCACCTGGGGGCTCAACTACCCCTTGCCCAAAAGCATTCCCCAGCCCAAAAAAGCAGCAGAGAAGTCTGGTCTTCCTGAAACGGGTCATGTTTTCAGGATTAACGTCTGCAACAGCTTCCCGATGGAGAAGCTCCTGCAGCTCTTGCAGTGCCCCCATCAGCACCCCCTGCCCCCAGCGGGACAGGAGCTCTCCCCCAGGTCCTTAAACCTTCCATTTAGGTCATGTTCACCTCAACCGCCTCCCTCATCCGCAGCCACCTAGCACAGCCCTGCAGAGGCTCTGTGCCTAACCAGCAACCACCTCCGCAGCACCTCTCTCGTCTTTAAGGCAGACGTTAAGGCACTGGGAATTTCTGCTCCCCTGCGGTCCTACTCCATTCCAGTGCAGAGGGGACCAGCCACACGCTGCTCTACAAGCCCAGTTTCTCTCTTATCATGGGTCCTGTGGCTCAGAAACCGAGACCGTACACTTGCCCTCGTGCTAGAGAGGGGGAGCATGTCTCATCCCAAGGCAAAGTTAAGGCAAAGTCTCCTCCTGGGTGACAATCCAGAGATAGGGCTCACACGAGGTCCACCCCGCAAAGCTCTGCGCTTGCCCCTCACCTCAGAGCTGGAGGGAAAGGGAGGAGAGGCTGCTTTTATCTCCAGCCAGAAACCCACTGCAGGACCACGAAGCTTACAGACACCGGTGGTACGCAGCGCTGTCCACTAGCACGTAATTCTGGTAAGTGCTTTTCCATCCCTCGTTGCCAGACAGGAGCAAAGGCTCGAACATCCACTTCAGCTACGTTTTTACAAAATAAAAGATTTTAAAACCGCCAGCTTCAAACAGAAAGAGTGCTGGAACCCAAGGGGTTCGAGTGAGCTGTACGGCCAGCGGCCACGGCTGGGGAGCTCAGCCCCACCTGCTGGCAGGCACCGCTTGAGGCAGGGCTTGGGGGTTGTGCTTTCAGGGCACGGTCGCCTCTGCTGCAGAAGGCTGGGGACTGATCTAAGTTACACCACCATGTCTCACAGTCCCTGCTATAACACACTAACGAGCTATGAACACCAGAGAAAAGTTTACTGATATTCCCAAAACGCGTATTTCATCTGACATCGCAATCAAGCTCTCAACAGCAGCCAACTACTTTTACAGGCAGAAGAACCACATTAAGTCAGTCTTACAAGAACGCTTTCAGAGGCCACAGGACAGAAATTCTTTCCTCAGTCCTCACTGAATTTAGGCTGTCATTAGACTTTGATAACTGCAACGTGCTCCTGGGCACGCTCTTCATGTGGCCCCTTCCACACACCGTGGTTCAGACAGAAGACCCACTGAACCCTACAGCTTGATCTGCAGCAGGGGCTTTGCTCTGAAGGTTTCTTTCCTTCTACTGCTTCTGCAGTGCCCGTTCTTTCAGTTGGTTGACGAGCTCTTCAGCATACACCTTAAAGAGAGGGACAGGGTCCTGAAACAAAGCAGAGGATAAACCACTTAAAAGGAGTGAACCACTTAAAACCAATGAACCTGCTGAACAGCAGCAAGGGGTGAAGTCTAATGGAGAGCCCAGGGAGCCAGTGCTGCGGGAGTGTTAACAGTTAAAACCAGAGGAAGGTGGGCCAGGTTTTTTTTCAGTGGCTGAACAAGACAACCTGCTGTGCTACTCCCCCAGACACAGCTGCTGCTCAGCTCTGTAACCCTGCCCCGAAGATGACAGGCACCTGTGCGGGACATTCACCAGCTTTCCCAGTTCTGCCTGCATTCGAGAATCAGCAGCAGCTCCCAGGCATCCCTTTCCTTCTAAAAGTGCTTGCCTCCCTCCTCACGTTGCCCTAAATCAGAGCTGTACTGAAGCACGTTGGGTGAACATACTCCTTGAAGAAGCTGGACCCCACAGGGTTCATGGCCCAGCACCGCCTCACGCAGTCAGTGCTCCTGACCTTTCCATCCCTGCTGCAGCCGCAACGGGAGCCAACAGCTCTGGGGGAAACGTCACCGAGGGACCCCACCACCCCAGGAAGCCCTTCTGCCCCCGCAGCTCCCTGGTGCACCCTCCTCTGCATATTGCTTCTAACAAGCCAGCTGCAGCGACAGAGAGCCACAAACTGAGCGAGCCCTGAGCTTGTGGATGCATGTCCCAAAGCACAACTAGTACAGCAGAAGGCAACCAAAGGCAAAGATGTACACGCAACGGGGCAGGAGTTACGAGCCAGCCCCCTAAATATCTCTCCCCCTGAACGGGGGATCTGGTTTTACAACGTGCTTTAACTCAGCCCCATGTTTTGGGCACCCAAATTTAACGGGGCTCACGTGGCTGTTCAGGAGTTTCGGAGCACCACTTCTACCGCCCCGGAGTGAGAGACAAGCTGGACGCGCAGCCTGATGCAGCTAAGACACCTCGGTGCTAAGCACTGCCTCAGGAACTCACCTTTTTTTCCAGAAGCCTCTGTTTTTCTATTGCTTCTTCTAAACTCAAGCCAACCCATTCAGCTTCCTCTTCTGGGATCACAAATTCCTGTGATAAAAGAAGGAGCAGGTGGTAGTGTCTTTCCAGGTGACTAAGACGCAAATCCTCTCTATGCCCAACCCAAACACGCGATCCAGTAGGAACATTACCACGGACAAATCTTAAAACGCTGTTCCCTCATTTCTGGCAACCAAAGTCCACTTCCCTTCTCTCCTTTTCCCTTTGTGTGGGTCCTGCTTCCTCTGATCAGCTGCGTCCGCTGCTGTGCCTCTCCTTTGTGTAGTTCTGGGGCTGTTTCTCAGCACAACTCCACGGACCGTGGATGCTGGCGGTGTTTCTATGCTGGCAACCATCACCAGCTGCACAAAACTAAACCGCACACAGGCAGTCTGGGCTCCTCCCTGCAGCATCAGTACAAATTCTTGCCGCTGCCGGCAGTGCCAGCTCCTACCGGTGCTTACTGCAGACCCTCACTGAGCTCGATCACAGCAAAAACACAGGCTTTTGTCTTCCTAAACCATCAGGACCAAAATTAGCAGCCCACAGAGAGACGAGAAAATCCTGACAAACAACGTTTAGATCTTCTCTGCCCATACCCTTAACCCCGAAGGCAGGAGCAGTAGCACTGGGGTTGCTGGGGCGATTAGGGCGTTATCGGTCTGGACAACCAGCAAACATCACTGCAGACACCAGGGCAGGAGCTGCAGGTCAGGCACCCACCTGGTACTTGTTGTAGATCGCCTCTCTTCTGGCTGGATCATCGGGATACAGTTTAGGATCCCGCCGTGCAAGTCGCAGCAGCATCGTTCGCTTCAAATCCATCCCGAGCTTCGAGCACATATCAGCTTTTGGAGTCTGGAGGAATAAAGTCCGATGTTAAATTCCGCCAAGAGACGGGCTGCTAGGGAACACGCAAGTCTATCAGCGCGTAGGCAACACCGGCAGCTTGTCCGCACGCTCTAGAGGCTCTCGGGACACACGCTACGAAAGGGGAAAGTTCCCCTGGGTTTGTTCTGGAGCTAATTTGATCACGGTGCTGATCTGTAACACCAAGGGCTCCAACCAAGGGGTTCTAAAGGCTGAAAGCTCTAGACCCGCACTAATACATCAACAGCAGCAGATGCCTGCACGCCCCTGAGCAGCGGCGGCGTGGGGGCAGAGCTGCCTCGCCCAGGCTGCCGCACAGCGAGTCCCGCCAGCCCCGCCGGGCGCGGGGCCTTACCTTGAGGATGTAGAAGTCAAAGCCGTAGGCCTCGTCGATGAGGTCCAGCGTCCGCATGGTGACGGTGATGGTCAGCGTGGCGTCGAGGATCTCGCTGTAAAAC